TCTGTGTCTTTCACAGATACAAAGTAAGATTGTCTCTGCACCTGGCATGAGCTTAAGAGCATATTTCTCTACGGAATTGTCATGTGGGGATGTTTTCGTAAGTTCTTTCATCTCTCTCTCTCAGGATTTCTCAAATTGGGGAATTGGCCTCATATTGGATATGTTAGCAGATAGTCTGCCTTATGATATTGCTACATTATGCTTACATAATTCAGTTCATATTTGGTGTCAGGATAGGGAAGAAAGTGAAGTTCCAGTAATAGATGAGAGCAGGGAGCCCAGACACAAGGGTGGTATGGACTTACACCATCATGCAATCGAGTTCGACATCGAGTTCTGGCCTGTTGAACATCCTATGGAGCCGCAGGATGAAGATCGGCCTGTAAAATGCCCAATGCCAGCTTCTTCCTGCATCAATGTACGTTACAATGTTCTTTTTTCTGCAGCGGAATTTCATGCATGTTTGTTTCCATCTTCCAACACAGTGGTGCAATATATCTAGCATTTCTTTGATTGGAATAATTCATTTACCGGAAGCAGTTTGAATTTAGCTTACTTTTTTTACCGTTTCCTGGTTTTACAGTATGATTTGACAAGCTCACTTTTCTTTTTTTTTTTAAAAAAAAAAAAAACCCATCAAAGATTGAACCATGAGTAAGATTGAACTATTTTCTTCATTGCTAGATTCCTAGTCCTTGAAGAACAATTCTGTCCTCATTAAAAACAAAAAAAATGGGAAACAGGGGTAAAGAATTGTGTTGCCTAATGAAAATTACCCAAGAGATAAATTAGTGCCATTCTCTTTACAAATAGCAAGAGCAGACCCACTTTACAAGTGGTAGATATCTAACTCAGAGGCATTCATCCCTGTGTCAATTTAATTTCTGCTAACTAGGTATTGAAGTATTACTTTAAAGGTTGGAAGTATTTAGGGACCTTTTTCTGTCAGAAGGCTAAAGTAGCAACGTTATAGTGGCTGGAAGTGGAATTTCTGGGTAACCCAACTTGTCAATCGTCACTGTTAAATACAAAGATTCAATTCAAGGGGTGGCTCCAAAGCATATCTCATTAGGAAGGGGTATATATTAAGTTGCACCAACAATTATTTTTCTGACATGTGAAAAATATACTATGTTTTTTGAAGGATGGAATAGGCAATGAAGAAAGGCTTGCAGCAGAGAGCTCGCGGAAGAGATCAGAAGTAACAGTAACGGCGAAGAAAGGAATTCCGGTGGCTACAGAGCCAGCAGTAAGAGCTGTGCGTAAAAGGCATCACACTCTCACCCGCGACGACCACGTCATAAAGCCGCTTGTCAGAATGCCGCCTCTTCCTCCACTCCCAACCCAGAATCTTACCATTTTCCAAATGCTTCAGGAATTCGACAAGTTTAACTCTTGAAAAGGGTTTAACGCAAACAAATGATAACACAAATTTTCCCATCCTTTTCAAACTCTGCAATGTTTAGTTCAATGCATTTGGAGAGATCCAGGAGAAAGAAAATCCTAGAGCGCCCAGGCCATAACTACATAGACTAGCCTTCTGAGATACATGTTCTGTATATTATTCACTATATCCAAATGGTTTTATGAGAAGCAACTGTGACTTGTTGGTGGACCAAATTCTAATCATAAGCAGATGCTTCCATCTTCACTTCCCTCATTCTTACTCAGACATTTCAATTTCCAGAAATTCAGATTTTCTAGATTTCTGCTTCAAAACCCCAATATTTAAATGCCAAAGCAATATCAAGGTCGAAGCCAGCCATACTCAATTCTGCAGAGAGATGGACAAGTGAATCATTCTTTGCAAACAAGAGGTTTTCATTCTTTAAAAAGAATTGTAGAGCAAGCAACCCAATTAGCCAATAGATGGCTCAGCAAAGGCCAAAAAACAAACAAAATCCTGTCCAATAAACAACCAAACAAGCAGATAGAAATCAAAGAAAGGTTCCTCGTTCTCAACACAGCATTAGGTCGTCGGGGGGGACCAGCATTGTTATAAAATCATCCCCCTGAGTCTGACCAGGTTCATCTGTTGAAAGCATGCTCTAACTACTACATGGCTGTCCACTCGAATCTTAAACGAGATTTCTTCCATCCTTTTATTGTATTTTATTGCTATTGCTCAACTTTTCCTTTTGTCAAAATCTCTTTATATTTGAGGCAATCGTGCTTCACTGCACTAATTCCTTTCATCTTTGATATATGTTTGCTCTGATTCTGGCAATCTTTTCAGCAATATCAATCCATAATTTTATTGTTCTTAAACATCAACTCCTTTAACTTTAATGAAAGTCATTTCATGCACATTTAAAGTATGAATCATTTTCAACCAAAGCGCATGTCACCATGCAGCATGTGGGGACAAGCCCCAATTTGGCACTGATGAATCACAACACTCTTTCCTTCTAACCAGTTACAGTCTAAGACAAAAAGCACTCCCACTATATAAAAAAAAAATTCTAAAAAGACTATAGCATTTAACGTTACCGGTCAATAAAAAAAATGCCATACAACAGAAAGAGATAGAGAGAGAGATGTAGTTTTCACCTAAGGGTCAGGGAGAGTGATGAATTTGTCCTAAATGTCAGGTAGAGGTGTAAGCTGTAAGCATTTATCCTTCTCTCCTAATTCTGAGATAAAAACAGAGGGTAGTTTACCTCTCATACACTATCAGGAAACAGGGTTGACAGAAAGCTGGGATTTGATCCTTCGTGCACGTGCTTTGAGGTATGTGAACAAAAAGTAACTCTTGAATGAACTTTATTCTACAAGTGAAATAAAAAGGGCAACAGCCATGCCAAATGTTAGTGAGATTAATTGCACTACAGTACTTTTCAATGTTGAGTTGCTACTGCTATTCATTTCTGCAAGCACTCCGGCAACAGCAATGTATATAAATCCACCAGCTGTAAACCCCTGCAAGAAAGGAAATAACAAAAAATGGAAAACTTGAGACCATGACCCAAAAAATAACATCCGACATGCTTTACACGTGACCTATTACCTCAATCAAAGATGACTGTCCAGGATCTTGTCCCAAAAGCAAAGCCTACAGGAAAAGCAATATGTTTTTAATTCCTTTGCCTATCATTTGAAGTAATAATTGCACTAGTTGCAAAAAATACTGACCACAGCAGTTCCTGCTAGTGCCACCAGCGCCGAAAGAAAGTTAAAGAACAGCGCTTTTGAAACACTGAAACCAGATCTCACCAATATACCAAAATCACCAACCTGCACAGGAGAAGAAACCAAGCCATGGAATCAAAATAATAAATGTGGTTATCCAAACGTCAAATTCAGAGCCTGCCATTTAAGAGTGAAAGTCCATATCATGCTCCCATTGTTTCATGTTAGAGGAGTTGTAATTGTTCAGTCATAAAGACAGGATGATTTCTGTGTGTGTATGTGCTGGGGGCAGTTTGGAGGGTTAATAAAGTTCTCTTCTCACTCGAGAAACCAGAGCGCCTACCCAGATATGTTGCCAACTTGCCTTTTATGGAAGTCACAGGGAGCAATCAAATCAATCTCATATTGCTCTATGATTTCACATTGAACCTGGACCATACGAACAAATAGAATGAACTCAATTTTTTTTTTGTTTAAGGGATAAACAGAAGCCCTGTCAGAAGTCCACTCACTAAAGGGGTGGGATTAATCACCGGGGCCAAGCTCCAGGTTCAAATGATCTCAATGTCTCTTTCCATTGGTTTTTTTCCATTTAAATAACTCCCACAAGTTCATGTCATTCCCTCAGCCTTCAGCCTTGAGCCTTGGATGAATTTCTTAAATCTCATCATAGATTACATCTACATGACCATTCTGAATTCAAAGTTGCCAAGAAGTTGGGTGGATAAATGCCTGGGCCTTGCAATGTTACATGACATTATGTCAAGAAATCCCCAAGTCCTAGAGTAAAGAGGGTAGGCATGTAAAAGACTGTATTTGGCTAATCCTCGATGCTCTCAAACCACCGTGGCATGTCAATCAATGGCGCCATCCCAAAATAAAGCAAAACATTCAATTATGAGTATTATTATGCTTGCTAGAA